AAAGGGAAAAGGAAAGGAACCTGGGTACCCGGTAATCCAATATTCTCTACCAACCAACAAAGGAAAGGGGATGCATAGCCTCGTTATCACTCTTCTTTCCGATATGGTAATAACTTCCAACTCGGAATCAGTTTGATCCACACGCTTTTCTTTAGTCAATGAGTTTTTATAGATGCTGCATATTCTCTTAATTGAAGTTTTGGAATAAGAACTTTTGGTTGCATATCAAGTTTTTACTTCTGTCCAATATCGATTATCCATAACAATGAACATCTTATGAATAAGAAACTGTAGCTGTTCTTACTTTTATGGTCTGTTGTTATTTACAGCATGGAAGGAGGATTTGCGTTAACTCTATTCAACAGGTCTGTCAATTTGATTCACCGCTCCATGCTCTAGATTTCTAAACATATGTTTGTCCAACAAATTTCACTCGATCTAGCTTATATTTGCAGCTTGATTTTGCTGCCACTGTATCTGCCCTGCTTGGTGTTCCGTTTCCCTTCGGAAGGTAGATGCTACAAGAATCCTTTAAAGTCCTCTTCTTTATCTGCTTCTTACCTTTTGTGGTTTCCTCTTATGCTTCTTTCTGCATACATTGGAAACAAAAGTAGGAAATATCTTTTCAAGATTGGAGTAAATGACACCATTTTTTTGTGCGATTCTTCCTTCCGCATCTCCTATCCTTACAAATGTTGCTGATATTTATCTGTGGCATCTTGCGTTTTCTTGTCAGCTCTTTCTAATATAACATAATTCCCTTATGCCTGAGTCTTGAGAGTATATTCATGATCATAACTTAGAGTGGCCTATGAACTATGATTGGTGCCAGTAAAGCAACAAGGATTAGTCTGTAATGAAGTGATCATATCTTACAAATAACACCTTGATCTACTTAGAACAAAATGGTTTTAGGGTGCCATACAAATTGTTTGCTCCAGTTTTTTTAGAAATATGGGATCACTTTATATTTTCAGTGTTTGCTGCCTTCATGCGATCCTGATATTATAAAAGCCCTTTGCTTGCCATTCTGTGTTGGATTCAGTGTTTATTGCATATTGATACTGATGTGTTTTACACTTTCACTCTCTATGCTACGTTTCTTTATGAAAAAGAAGTCCATGGAATGACTGCAGGCAATTGCGATCTTTTTTTTTTCTTTTTTTTTCTCTTCTTTTTAGTGGGTTAAGATAATTTCATTTTTGTCGAAACTCTAATAAGTTAACCTATTTTCAGTATTGGGCGTGTTAATTCTGAGCTCTTCTCCTTAGCTGGTGGTACATGGAATCAGGAAAGTTCACCCACCAGTAATGATCAAAGTCTATCAGAAATTGACAATTCAATGCAGAATTATGTTAATCTACTCTGTATTAATTCTTGGCAGGTATATATATGTTCCATACTGTTCTAATGTGATCGATACTAGTTCTTAACACACCATACTTCTCTACACATATTCTATGACTGAGGATGTACTTGTGCAGGTGAAGAAATACATTGATGTTTATTCATCTTTGTCATTAATTGGATTTTCGGAACAAGACTTGCTGCATGTATCAAAGCTGTATTCTGAGGCACAGGAGCTTTGGTCAAACACTTCGAAGAATTTTTCACTTGACAAAACTCAGAGGCTTTTTGCTTCACTACCTTTAATCAAACGACAACTTGATGCATATTCTGTATTTTTGGAAAGTGTTGCTGACCTAGCACGATCAAACTGGACTGAGTTTCATTTGAAGATGATGGGTGTAGGCTTCTGCATCATGTTAAGTTCACTTTTTTTGCATGTATATCTTATCAGGACGCTGAACAAGCTATCTGGACTTCATTCTTGTTCGTCTGGCTATTCCATGGGACTTTTTGGGGTCACTTTTGCTTGTGTTATAGTGCTGATACGTGCATCGAGTTTCCTTTCCAACAGTTTTATTCGTAAGCACCATATATGATTTTTTTTATTATCTTTCATGGATTAATGAACACATATTTCTTTAAATCTTGTTTTGTCCTTTGTTTGACTCTTGTCACCATTGCTTATAACTTTTGAGATGCAGTGGAAGAAGGACGAGTGGCTACCTTTCTTTTGGCAACAACTGTAATATTTCAATTACGTTGTGCACTTATGAAGAAGATGATGTTTCTTGAAGTAGGTTTCTGTCATCATTCTTCTTTTGTGATCTTCACGTCTTATGCATCGATTGAATATCTAATGTGTTTGTTCATATGATCTATGGAACTTGCAGGCGCTTGTGCTTTGTCTTTTGGTTCCTTTACTCAGAATTAGTATTGAACTTGGGCAATTGAAGCAGGCTGTGAATTCGTTATTCCTAAAGGTTGATCCTTCACAATCTCTGGGAATCGACAATGACTCTCAATTCTGGATGTATGTTGCTGAAGTCCTGCCAACATTAGCTCTTATCCTCGTTGCGTATCTGCTGTACAAGAATATTGCTGTTTGTCCCTCTCAGGGCATTTGGAAGTATGTCGTTGCAGGAACTTTATTTAATTATATGCTCATACCATTTCATTGGGCCTCAGATAGTAGCCTATTGATTCTGCAAATGTTGCCTGATGGTGTAAAGGGAAACATAATTCCTCGAGTGACCTATGCTGCTGGACTTCTACAGCTTTCACTATTGACCATAGGTCAACTAACTTCTAGGAAGAGGGCTTCGAATTCAGAAGAAACTACATTTGTTAAATTGTTGGCCTTATTATCCGCATGGAGTTCGACGATCATTATTCTTTCAGGAAAGCAAGGCCCCTTGGTTGTCTTGGCATTGTTGATTGGAGGTGCTTTCTCCACCTCGATAGAGTTTTTCCTTGTTGGTGCTAATAATGATACGCAAATTTTGATTCTCTAAGTTCTGTTAACATTTTGTGCATCATTTTTCTCGTGTATTTTATATTTTGTTGGGGTTATCTTTCCTGAAAAATGAATTGTTGTGCATTATAAGTTCGTTCAGTGTTGTTTTAAATTACTAAAACGTTTG